TATATAGATAATGCCTTGCGAAGTAGGATTTATTATACATTATGGGATTTGATTGTTATAAATCTGTACAGTGTACAGGGTTTTGAAATAATTGTAATAATTTGATAAATTTGTTCTATTAAAATTACTGTGGAAAATTTTCACGATAAGAACATTTTGGCAAAACAGTAGAATATGCAACTTATTATTTATCTCTGCCAAAGAAGTAGCACATTTGATGTATCTTTATTTTTGTCTGTATGTCTCTCTGTAAATGGTCATGTGCATGTACATCTCAACATTCAAAGGATGTCTGGATACCGCCTTTTAATTAACAGACCATGCAACTATACATATAAGTGCTTATACAAGTATATAATGAGCAAGCTAGCTAGGAAGAACTCTTCCAAACTGCTAAATTTAATCAGGGATTCTATCGTCAGAGCAAGCTAGACTGTAAATGATTGAAATACATCTAATCTTTGTCTATTTTTTGTTGATTTTATTAATTTTTAAACTAAATATAAAGTGGCGTCTAAAAAAAAAAATCAAAATTCTCAATTATGATTGCTAAAAAAATCTACAATATTTCGAGTATAATTATCTGTCAAACACTCGATCAGAATTTCCTTTAAATTTTTACAGCTCTGTAGTTCATGTTCACCTATCCGTATGTGTCCCCTGCCCTTACCGTGTTTCTCCACACCTCCTTCCTCTAAAAGCTACGATACGCATTAATTTTACAAATAAATGGTCAATAAGTAAAAATCATTAAAATAAATTTATTTATATATTTTATTTCATTTTATTTATTTATAGTGTATATGATAATATAATTGTGTCCCTTTCGAGGTCCTCCGTAGTTTTTTTTCTCCTTTTAGAGTTATCTCCCGTGTGCCGTTTACTATCAGTGGCCGGTGACCCACTGTTTGTGTCTATGGTATAACCAATGGATAAGTTCCGTCTACTGGAGAACGTCCATACATCGCTTACCCCCGTCGTCACCGACGCCGCGCTGGTTCGTGGAGATTACATGTATTATCACTACGGCTGTGACGGGGTAGATGATAGGGTAAGTAATAACATCTGTAAGCGAATATTTTCTCCGTTTACAAAATTTTCCCACGTGTGGGAGGCTCACTACAGGTAAAAATGCATTCTTAAAAAAATATAGCTCATCATAGTTCATTTCCTCAACTTTGTTATTTTTAATAATGAAACTCACTGACAAAATAAGTACCTCGACGATAAATGAAATAAAAAAATATTTTAATTATTGCCTTTAGTTATCACTGGGTCAAAATTAATAAGGTGTCCGAATAATTAAATATTTATATTAAAATAAATTGTTCAAATCCTTCTTTCAAATTGAATCAGCATATGTTTTAGGGACAAGGCATGTGTTATCTGGGGCTGGGGGGAGGGGGGGGGGGAATCGCTGACTCCCAAATTTTTTCCTAGCTGTATATCTGTAGCTCGCTGGTCTAAAAAAATTTCAGTGGATGGATGACCTGTCAGGTTTATCAATATATTTTTTCGGAGAGCCATGCACAGTCCTGCAGCTACTTTTTCGAGACGTAACATTTAATTTACTCTTGAAAATGCCCTTTTGTTTCAGTGAAGTCAAATAAAGGTATTGTTGTGGAGGTGTTTTAGTAAAATTGAAAAAGTTGGATCCTTTTTGGGGAATTTTTTTGTGCGTTTTTTTTTTTGTGTGTGTTGGCAACTTTTTTTTCAGGTATTGTTGTAAGTTTTTCCCTCTGCATGGCTACCTCTTTCAAAAATGATGCTTTGTTTCTGTATTACTATATATATATAGTCTAGTAAGGGGGTGCCTACGTATACTAGGACCAAAATAAAAGCAATTGTTGGTTTGGAATTGCTTCCCGCCTCATCAAAATGCCCCCTTCTCAAGGCCTGTTATAACATGCACCACACAAAACTGACTCTTATGTAGTGGTTTCAGATCTGTGCAAAATTAGAATTCTTTGTTGATAATTAGATAATTTTTTTCAAAAAGTCAGAAAATGTGTCTTTTTACTGTCTATTGAGATTTTTATTAAAAATATATCTCCAATTTTGAAAAAAAATTCCCTCCCACCCTCCTGTGTCTGAAACCCATCAGACGGCAATTCCAAACAAGCAATTTTTCAAGGATGGCCTTGGTAGTCTCAGTGTTTAAGTCAATTCATTAATTAGCATCTTTGAATAATTTTATACGATTTTTGAACACATTGCAGATATGAGTATTTTCTATAAAAGTTAATAATAGGTAATTTAAAATTTATCAGGGGTGGGGTTGTGGATATCGCACACTTCAGACGATGTGTTCCTGGATTAGAGGACAACGAGGAGAGAGCATGGTCGAAGTTCCATCACTAAGGCAAATTCAAGACGCACTGATTGCTATGGACGACAAGCCAGACTCATTCGCTGGTTCCAAAAACTGGATAGGGAGCTTTGAAATATGCATTTGCATTGACTACTTTTATGAGGTACATGTAAACCATATCTTTTATTACATGAAAATTGAAAGGTCAAAATGAGCTTTCTCAATCTGATCAATTTTTTCGTCGTATCTAAATTATTGCTCGACTTACGGACTCGCGGGGAACAACTGGGTGATGCCACTGACCATCCAAGATAAATAACTTGGAATTAAATTCATTTCTTTTCTTCAAATGATCGACTTTGATAAATGGTTAAAATAGAAAAAGTCGCATAAATTCTCATCAAGAACTACATTTTGTATATGTCAGAAAAGACAAAATATTGAGGACAGTTTCCCTATATTTTTTTTATTTATACAAAATTTTATTCACATAAGTGAATGGGATTGGGCAGCAGGCAAAGCCTATTTTAGCCCTCTCCCTACAAGGTCAAGATGAACACACAATATATAGGTATGAAAATAAATAGACAAACATATATAGTAACAAAGAAACAACAGAAAAAAAAGAGTAGATAGAGAGAAAAAAAAATTGCAATGTAGTACCGGTTTCCCTATATTGTGTGCTGGTTCAAATTTTTACTAATCTTGGTCTTCGTGGCTAGGATGCATACAGGGTCACAAAAGGGAGCCTTTAGTTTTATACAGAATAAACAGGAAACAAATTATTAAGGTTCATCTACCCTTTTATAAGAAACATTATTTTACTTGGATAAATGACTAAGATATTTTCTTTTAAAAATGTCAAAGACATGTTTGAGAAAAACAATTTCCTTGAAATACCCCTGGTATTGGCACTTAAGATATGCAGAAATTTTATGGAATTTGCTTATAAATCAGTAATCACTTTTTGATTTTTTTGTATCATTAAATCCAGATTTAATATTAGTTTAAAGGGGGATGTTATAAACCTTACTGTAAAGCTTCCTCTCAGAATACAACACGTAAAATAACTTACTCCTATTCATATTTGTCTGCTACTAATCCAAGTTTAAACATAATTTTCAAAGCACACTAATTGCTCTATATGTTCATGATAACTATATAATCGTAATACACAGTACAATTATAACAATATCAAAACTATATTCAATTGTCTCCTTAAAGGTTCCATGTAGGTTAATTCACGTAACCTCTGGAGAGAAACTGATTGAGTATCTACCAGATCTTCAAAAACACTTCCAGGAGATGGGCTCAGTTATTATGATGGGTAAAGTTTTCACCTCTTTATCAGTTACTTAATTAATTAAGGTTCATTGACCCCTCTGGTAAGAGAGATAACTCGTACTAGGATAAATGACTGTTATTTATTTTTTTATAGTCAAGTTAAAAGCTCATTTTTTCAAACTTCGCGCAGCAAGCTGTGTTGAATTGTATACATTTCAACTACAAATCATTTCCTTCTGCAATTGGGAAAGTCATACAAAAAAAACACAACAACACCCCCCCCCCCGAATTTTATATGAGTAAACAGTATGATGTTGAACCCTGTTTTTGTTGTGAAAAAAGTGACATCTCCCCCCCAAAATATCTGTGAAATGTAGTGGATATAATCAATTATACAGAAATGCAATATTATACTGACGTTTGTTTTGTTTTTTTTGCGTTTTATTAAACAGGCGGTGATACAGACAATGCTTCCAAAGGAATTGTAGGAGTCTCCATGGAAAATAAGTCCCTGCTTGTTATAGTAAGTACCTAATTTATTTGTAAGCTTCATTATTATACCCCCCGCTTGAAAAGCGGGAGGGTATATAGTAATCGTTAATTCCGTCCGTCTGTACGTCCGTCCGTCCGTCCGTCCGTCTGTTACGCTTTGGGGCACCCATCTCTTATCCGCAACTCTCTCATACCACTGAATGAAATTTGATGCAACTTTCACAGAATCTTTATTACATATTGCCATTGTGCACCTCCTATTTTACTTTTTGATCCGACACATATTTTGGTTTCCCGGCCAGAGGAAAACATGGACTTTTTCACCAGTTATAACCATATGGGAGGCGGGGGTATCATTTAGTGAGCTCATCGCTCACAGTACCTCTAGTTGTTTTCATAAGTGATACGAGAGGAAAATGGTTCGTCTGCTTTTCTTGTTGTTGTTTCAACAAGTTTTAGAAGATATCAAAATTAACTCATTTAACAAAAATCAAATAAAAATCATGATGCATAAACAATTCATTGAAATCCATACACAAATAATAATACATTTTGATTTACATATATTTGATTTTTTTTTATAGTCTTAAACATTGCTTATCGAGGGATATATTCTATAACTTTTCTGTTTAATCTCGTTTAAGGATCCTCATTACTATGGAGATATTACGACTGTAACAGAACTCTACGACAAAGACATGGTATCCTGGCGGCCATTAGATTCATTTCTTCACCATTCCTTTTATAACTTTTGTTTACCGCAGCTTAAAGCAAAGTAATATATTTTGTTTCATTGTCTCAGTTTTCTTCATTTGAAGAAAAAAAAGAAAGACATAACGAGTACAGTAAATGAAAACAGAAAGCGATGTTTTGATGGATGAGTCAACACATATTGTTGAATTGAGAGCCTTTATTAACACCCATAAACTTCAACACGAAGGCCTGGTTTCCCGCCATTGTGCCACGTGAGAGGAACAAACCGGATGAACCTTGCACTGATTCTGCTTGGAAGGTAGTGCTTCATTACGGTATCATAAGTACTGCTCCCGAAGAATTCCTAAAAAAATAGATGCAACGTTTTGTAAAGAGACTGCTACATTTATAATTTAGTATGTTTCCACTAAGACTGTTTCGAAACAAGGTTCAATTCACATATATATTATGCTTAAACTAAAATTTAACCTTTTGAGATCCATTACTTCCGATGACGTCATGAAAGTTGTTTCCATCTGTGCTATACTGGAGTTTGTAGGACAGTGTGTAGTAGGTAGAGGAGCGATATCCTTGTGTTGCTATGGAGTAGACGACACGAACTTGTCCCAGGTCAACCTAATCAAACAAAGATTTGTTTTTAGTTTTGGCAAATGAATGCAGAACTGTGAATTTACATAAAATGTTTTTTTTATCTTAATTTAATACTCACTATAGCGTCTCAGACTACACTGACATTGAACTGTTCAATTATGTGAAAGTACATTCTTACGATGTACATGTATAATTGTATAGACTGGTGTTTTTTGTTAAAAGACGATATGCAACAAGTATACCCTTGCATGGATACTTATGGCCAAAAGAAGATGGAAGATGGTAGTCTTGAAATGAAAATGAAATATGACAGATGTAGCATCAACCATTTAAATGATATGGTCGAGGTTAAAGTGTTACAGGCAATCTAACAGACGGACAGATCAACACCATAAGCTTCCGAATCTCCGATTTCGTTGGCATAAAACCTTTGTCACTTTTCAGAACATATTTATAATTTACGTATCCTCTTGATTATTATGCACCTGTAACCATGAGTTAGAGGTCTCTCCGATCCACCCGTCTCTACTGTGAAGTCGACCATTAGAGGCGAAATGGTTGGAGAAAGTGTAGTGTGCTGACATTTGGGCGTCTGGGATCGTCTTTTTGGAGAAGTCTACACCAAAAGCGTTTGTATCACAGCCTAAGCAAACAATATAATAAATCATGCATACTTGCTTAGTGGTAACGGTATCCAGTTTACTTTGTTAAAATATTTTTAGTTACATACGTAGTTCACAACGTTTGCCACCATAATCAGATGAGCATGCGCACATATAATTTCCGAAGTCATCTGAGCACGTGCCACCATTTTGACATGGATTGCTGCTGCATTGATCTTTTTCTGCAAAATAGTTTTATGCCACTTTTTAATGAAATTTTGCGCTTTTAAATTCGATTTTATTAAAGTTTAATTAGTATATTAATTTTAATATACATTTAAATATTCCCCAAAAAAACCCATAAACTGAAACCTCTGATGTCGATAGAGAATGTTCCGTCCGCGTATTTTCCATGACGATCTGTGGCACGAATTCCGAATGTGTATGACGCATCTATATCCGGTGCTGTGCCACTGATGACACCAGTGGTAGAATTCAGAGATGTTCCGGGTGGAAGATGACCGGAAATTACTTTATACTGTATGTTACCACCATCTGGATCCTGTAATCGTATCATCAAAATTTAATGATGAATTCCGATATTAAACCAGAAGTCTCTGTCGAGACTGAAGCTCTACTGGTTTGTACTTATAGCAAAGGAAGAGAAAAGTACTTAAGCAGTTGGAAATTGAAACTTTTCAACAGCAATAAATAGAATAATGATCCTTGATTAAGTCTCTTAGTGCAGTCTACTTGCATGCCACATTTATATTATAATCAGACTAAAATTGTATTTGGAGTAGCATTTTGAAAGAATTTCACAGAAATTTCTATTTTAAGTAACCACGGCAACACCGTTCATCGAAATCAAAAACCGATACACAGAATTGTGTATCTTAGTGTAGTCTACTTGTGTGCCAAGTTATATTGAAATCAGACTAAAACTGTAGGAGGAGTAGCATTTTGAAAGAATTTCACAGAAATTTCTATTTTTAGTAACCACGGCAACACCGTTCATCGAAATCAAAATCCGACACACAGAATTGTGTATCTTAGTGTAGTCTACTTGTGTGCCAAGTTATATTGAAATCAGAATAAAACTGTAGGAGGAGTAGCATTTTGAAAGAATTTCACAGAAATTTCTATTTTTAGTAACCACGGCAACACCATTCATCGAAATCAAAATCCGACACACAGAATTGTGTATCTTAGTGTAGTCTACTTGTGTGCCAAGTTATATTGTAATCAGAATAAAACTGTAGGAGGAGTAGCATTTTGAAAGAATTTCACAGAAATTTCTATTTTAAGTAACCACGGCAACACCATTCATCGAAATCAAAAACCGATATACAGAATTATGTATCTTAGTGTAGTCTACTTGTGTGCCAAGTTATATTGAAATCAGACTAAAACTGTAGAAGGAGTAGCATTTTGAAAGAATTTCACAGAAATTTCTATTTTTAGTAACCACGGCAACACCGTTCATCGAAATCAAAAACCGATACACAGAATTGTGTATCTTAGTGTAGTCTACTTGTTTGCCAAGTTATATTGAAATCAGACTAAAACTGTAGGAGGAGTAGCATTTTGAAAGAATTTCACAGAAATTTCTATTTTTAGTAACCACGGCAACACCATTCATCGAAATCAAAAACCGATATACAGAATTATGTATCTTAGTGTAGTCTACTTGTGTGCCAAGTTATATTGAAATCAGACTAAAACTGTAGAAGGAGTAGCATTTTGAAAGAATTTCACAGAAATTTCTATTTTTAGGAACCACGGCAACACCATTCATCGAAATCTAAAACCGATACACAGAATTATGTATCTTAGTGTAGTCTACATGTGTTCAAAGTTATATTGAAATCAGACCAAAATTGTAGGAAGAGTAGCATTTTGAAGAATTGTTTACAGACAGACAGACGGACAGACAGACAGACGGACGGACGACGGACGCATTACTATCGCATAAGCTCTTCTGGTCTCTGACCAGTAGAGCTAAAAAAGTAGCGTGTTTTTAATAATTTTTTTTCTACTTAGCATCCTTATTTACATATAAACAATCCATTATCAAGCTAAATATTTGAAAATATTTCCTTTTCTTCTCATCATTAATTTTGTCGTCAATGTCGAACAAGTTCACTTTGTTTAATTACCACAGCCTCCACAGACACAGCTATTTTTGTTCCGGAAGTGAACGCTCCCAGTGATCCATGGACCGATTGTTTCGTCCATATCGGGGGAAGACTTTTAACTTTCTGAAAATATTTACTTTTTCATGAGGAGGAAATCATAGATCCATGAAAAACTACCAACTGAAATAATTTTTTTTTAAAGTAAAAAGTTAGTACTAAAAAAGTAACAAGTTTTTGTACATGTAGCCATGTTATTATCTTATAAAAAACACTATACCTCTATAAATTTTCGGAGATCTGTTCCACCAATGATCACGGTTCCTCCAGACCCTGGTTTTAGAATAACATTACCACCCACTCCTGCCTGTCAATAGAGGTATTAGTAATACTTTTAAACAAATACAAGGGAAGTAATTGAATCTTAAGTAAGGCAATGCCACTTCTAACCTCAAATGTGAGATCTCCCCCGGGCTCTGCCGATACATTTACATTGGGGTAGTCAATCTGGAAGAAGCTGAAAAAACACCACAGAGATATAATCAAGAGAATTGGTAGAATTTTTGCGAATGAAAAAAAAGCAAACGTTTTGTTTTCAAATCATATTAATGTTCATAAAAAGCAAAAACAAAATAAAAACAAAAGTGAAAAATAAACAGCATTAATCTAAATACATGTACAGAGTAGACAAACAAAAATGACAATAGTGCATGAGTGAAAAAAAGAAAACAAAACAATTTTTTATGAAATGCCTCATGCCACTCATGTAGAACATCTGGCAAAATTAAAAAAAAACATTTTATCCAGTGAGTTCAAACTATCTTAAATGTATATGAATATAAATGTTATGTTTACCTTCCATAAGCAATCCCAGGAAGACAAATTATTGAGAATATAAAATACTGCATCATAACTTAACTCGCCATCGATGATGTGATTAAAATGGGCAACGCATTAGAAAACTACTTCCTTGGCAATGACCAAATCCCTATATTTACAAAATAATTAATCATTCCATTTATTTTATTAATTGCCTTAAATGTATTCTCTTTGCCCTGATGATTTTGTTTCTAGAGACCTAAAATTTTGCCTCACGCCTCTTTTTCTTTGGCATGACCTTGAAACATGCAATCTCAAGGTTATGAAAATGGCTTCCAGGCTTGTTCCTGTGGTACTTTTCCTAAGTAGCATTTTGTGTGATGATGGGTTTGTAAATTTATTTTATGTAATACAGCCGTGTCGGAAGAGACAAACCCATGATGCAAGTATTCCTTTGATTAGAAATTTTGACTAATTTTCTATTTTCTGTAGTGTTTTGGACATAGAATATCCAAGTCTTTCTATTCATGCACCTGCCGATGGAGACATTATTTTACAGGTAAGTCGTGATAAAAATGTCTCTATCTCAGAAAAAATAACATCTCGAAATATATTTTTAAAGTTAAGTAGAGTCATATGTACGTAATGACGGTTAAAGAAACTGTTTGTTTACAACAAAGAGACTGACAGCAAAGTCTGTCCTCATTGTAAAAGATCATGTTCTCTCCTTTAACTCTACCTTGAAAATATTTTGCAAGATATTGTAATATTGATTTAAATGAAATCAAATTGGTTTTTTTTTCTAATTTTAGTAAAAAGCAATGTTTGACTTTGACAGTAGTTCAGTTGTTGTTTCTAAAGTTTTAAAACAATGACTTCTGAAATGTTTATTCTAATAGAAGAATGTTACTGAAGAAAATACTTCATTATGCTTTATATATTTTCTTTCTAAACTTATTTTTTTCAGTCTGGATACGGTCTAAAAGATGTATACATCAGCCCAGGCCCTAGCGGCTCCGTTATATTTGAAAATCAAGATATTTTAAAAATCATAGAGGTATCACTGATCCCGCCTGTTAAATACATGTCAAATGTACATTGTTATCCCACATAATTTATTAAAATTATATCTATAAATAGCGTATATATATATTTTTTAAATATTTGATAACATCTTTTTAAAAGGTAGCAAAAAGCTTGCCTCCTGTATGGTCAAAGCATGCACACATGGGTTTCTTTGGAACATTCACTGGTGAGCAACGGATTAACATCAAACTTGATGCAATAGTAAGTTTTCTGCAAACTCCAAGCTATTAATTCAAATCACATTTCATATATTTTTCTAGCTGCAGAACTGTAGCTCTCTGCTTGAGAAAATTCGGACACATAAAGCAGAGAGCTACAGATCCTAGCGTTGTAAAAACCTTCGATTTACGCCGACGATTTTTTGTCGCTACTTTAGGTATTTATTTCGTGTAGTTTAAGCTTTCTCTGGCTTTTAGAAAATTTGTATTCTATAATCATTCATATATTTACGCCTAACTCTTATTTTTGATACTTTATTTACCTTTTAATGGTCCGAAACAGTCCTATATATATATATATATAGTTTTGTAACGTCGGTTTAATAGAGTTCTATTTCAACGTCTGTAACCACAAACAGTCATTTGTTAGCGTTGATAGGTAAGTAAATTATCAGGAATTTAAAGTTAAATGTATGATTAATTGTAAAATACCATTTTTAAAGCTGGGAAAAGTATAAAATACAAGAAAAAATGCCCGACGTGAGCGACAAAAAATCGTCGGCGTAAATCGAAGAGTTTTATAATGCTTGGATCTGTAGCTCTTTGCTTTATCTGTCCGAATTTTCTCAAGCAGAGAGCTACAGTTCTGCAGCTAATATTTTTCTTGAATAAAAAATATTAATCTAACATACAAAGTCACAAAGTATGATTACCCTTCTCATATCTTTAAACTAGGACCCCGAAGGTACAGATCTCCATTTCATGATTGTATCTGGTGATCTACCGCAAGGAGTATCCCTAAACAATGTCACAGGTTACATAGAAGGTGTGATTCCGGATGTAGAAGAAATTTTCAAATTTGGAGTTCGTGCTATTGATGAACATGGAAAATATGCTGACGCAATCTTTAAAATGGAAACTGTTGGTATGGTTTCTTATCATAACTGTAAAATTAGGGACAGAAGATATGTTTAAATTGTTTTTTATTGCAATGTAATTTTATTCTTTTCTTAAAAATTTGAAGTGAAGGACCATTGTCAGACAAATCCTTGCTTGCATGGCGGATCATGTACAGATACCAAAGGTTGGTTCAACTGTACCTGTCGAAGTGGATATGGAGGTCCCAGATGTGAATTTTGTAAGTAAATGTTGTTCATAAAATCTTGATTTACAATTACGTTTTTCTATAACCTGTAGAAATTATGTTGCACAACAACTTTTTTAAAGGACTATCAGTGGCATACATATATCGTATGTAACGACACAATGTGTATCAAAACGAGGCCATACAAAACTTGCATGTTTCAATAAAACATGTATTACTCGTATTATACTTAATACATGTATACATGTTTACATAAATTATTTCACATTTCAGTATTGTATTTCAGATTTTAATGATTTACTTTCTTTGCCCACTACAGCTTGTGCCTCCCAAGCATTGGGAGTAAGTGACAAAAACAAGATTCCAGATGCTCAAATGTCTGGTTACCTTACGTACAGCTCATACTTGGAATCAAATGGACGATATCGCGCTTCTGGGTATGGATGGGTGGGATCCAACAGCAACTCATGGTTACAGGTGGATCTAGGTATTCACAGATTTGTAAGGTTTATGACCGAATGCAAATAAAATTTAAGTATGCAGCCATACAAGGCGATAAGACTGCACATCATTCGGTTAAAAAGTAAACAAACTCTCTACTCCTTCTTTAATATATTCAGGTAGAAATACTAATAAAACATACTGGATAAAACATAAAAATGAAGAAAAAAATCGTAGCTTTTCAAGCAACTTAAAAGCAATTCTACATGTAATTTAATAATCATATCTATTCAAAAACATGTTTGTTCTAAATTCCCTTTCCTGGAAAAACACGAATAATGCAATCTGAATAAAATTTGATTTGAATAGAAAAAAATTCTAGCGTAATTTTATTAATTTGTTAAGAACAATTTATAAGGCATGTTAGGCAATTTAGTAAACTTGGTATTGAGTTGCTTAATTTATTTTGAAAGGTAACCTGACTAAAGTGTATGCAGTAAGGAATCAGGGCTACAGTTCCACGTACTATAGTCGTGGGTATACCCTCTCTGTTAGCACAGACGGCACCTCATTCCTGTCCGTAAACAACACTAATGGAGGAATACATGTAAGTACTAAGTAGTACCATGTCTAATTCTGCTTATCTGATCCATTTGTTTCTTCATGTATAGCTGAAACCCTTTATTGTAGTACCTGGTGGTATTGAATAACAACGACTGTCTAATTTTACTGACACATGCATGAAGTATTTGAAATCTCTCTAAATATCAATGGTGCTTTTTTTTCTTCTTCCAGACCTTCTCTGCCTCCACAGGAAATTACCAGTACTCACTTCCGGTTCCTGTAGATGCGCGATTTGTTCGATTTCACCCAACTTCATATCACACTAAACCACAATTTAAAGTAGAACTCTATGGATGTCATTACCAGTGACACAGGAAAGCGAATCATAACGGAAATGATTACATTGTTTCCAATTTCTTTCAAATAAAATGATCTTTTGAAAGAACTTTTATTTTATTCATTTATTTTTATCCCAGTAATAGTAGTAAATTATATTGGCAAATTTAGTTTGCTTCTTCGAAAATTACGAGTAAGAACTGATTCAGAAGCATAGTTTGTATTGGATGACATATACATGCACCAATTGAAACTGAAATGGAAATGAAAGCAAATACGATTTAGCAACTATTGATGATTAAAAAATCTTTATGGTAAGAAAGCATTATTGAGTGATATTGCATTGCATCATTACAATTAAAAAATAATTTCTACGTGAGCTTAATTTTGGCTTAGTAAGTGGGACCATCAACTCGCGTAAATTGCGTTCTGCCAAACAATTAATTGCATCATTAGGGATTTTCAAAAGTTGCAAAGTCAATCACGTTTTACTCCTGACGATGTTCTGAAAACATATCTCACAGGATGAAATATCTGAGGGAGAGTAGATTCGAAATTGTTCAGATCATGACCCTTGGGCTTCGATGTGGCCACAGTAAGGAATCAAATTTTGAAATTGCATTATATAAGTAAATCTTTTTTCACAATAACCACTGTGCCAAAAATGATGAAATCTTGTGGATGCTTCCTGAAGTAGTTTTGATAATAAATCGTTTAAATCGTGCACCTCTCCCCCCCCCCCCGCCCCCATCTAGGGAATCAATAGGCGGAGCCGCAACAGGAAATCAAAATTTTACATTTTGATATACAGGAATTTAAATTATTAAAATGAAAAATCGTCTCAAGAACCACTGGACCGGAAATGGTGAAATATATGTTGAAGCTTCCTTAGGTAGACAAAAATGCAGATTTTCAATTGTTCGAATCATGGCCCCGGGGACAAGGGTTGGCTCACAAGAGGAAATATTAAAGTATCACATTGAAATATATCTTAAATAAATATAGACAAAAGTGTAGATTCTAAATTGATTAAACAGTGACCCCTTCAAGTTGATACGTTTGGGCCACAATAGTTAATCGAATTGAAATATTTAAAAGTATCTCTTTAAAAACCACAGGGCCAGAAGTTGTGAAACTTATGTTGAAGGTTTCAAAGGTATAGTGTATATTCTGAATTAATTAAAGAATGCCCCCCGGGTATGGGCTACAATGGGGAATCAAAGTTTTACATTGATATACGGGTATTTAAAGAAAAATCTTAATTATTCTTCTTTTCAAGAACAGATGGGCTAGAAAAAAAATAAAACTTATGTGATAACTTCATATGGGAGATTGGATTTATAAATTGATTGGATCATGTTCCCTCGGGAGTAGGTTGAGACCACAATAGGGAATCACAATATGTCGGGGGGGGGGGGGGGGTTGAAGCCCAAGTGACTCAGGTGAGCGTAGTGGTCCATGGGCCTCTTTTTATATTAGTTGTCTTAAACATACATGTACATTAATCAGCTGACCACAATACTTATATCGATTTTATTTTTGATCAAATCAATGTTAACAGTCAGGAAGATATTAATAAAATAATGTACCACAAAAAAAGTTTATTGTCTTTTTATTTGCCGTTATTCTTATTCAAACATCACATCCATACAGCTCCACTCTCATTCCTGGCTTACTGTGGAACGTTTTGGGTATAAACTTGACA